TGGTAGACGACACCACCGACATGGAAGAGCCAAATCTCGCTCAGCGGATCAAGAAGAACGTTGACGTAACATTGAAGAGCACGCCATCAAGAGTCCCCTCCAGCCATGTTGCGATCAAGGTGCTGCACCCCAAGATTGAGAAGATTGTGCGTAGAGACTTGCGCATAATGGCCTTTTTTGCTGCCATCATCAACGCTGTGCCTACCATGGAGTGGCTATCGTTCCCAGATGAGGTAGAACAATTCGGGGAAATGATGAGGCTTCAACTGGATCTCCGAATCGAGGCCGCAAACCTTACCCTCTTTCGACATAATTTTAAGGACAGAACAACTGCCTGGTTTCCATATCCATACACTGAGTACACAACCAGAAATCTTCTGATCGAAGAATATGCCCAGGGAATCCCAATGGAAGATTTCCTGCAGAATGGAGGAGGCGTTTTTCAGAAAGACATTGCGGATGAGGGGCTGGACGCTTTCCTCACCATGGTGCTCATTGACAACTTTATCCACGCAGACTTGCACCCCGGAAACATCATGGTGCGCTTCTACAAGCCCGAGAAGTTAGATGTGTCCATGTTCACCCGCAAGGAGGATCGTATCACCGGACCCAAGGAGTCATTAGACGTCACCGAGGAAGTACTAGAGCGCTTGCGTCCGCATAGGAAAAATCCCGAACAATGGAAGTCGACACTCTCAGAAATCGATCACGAAGGATATCGACCACAACTCATCTTCATCGACACGGGTCTTGTGACCGAGCTCAACGCCAAAAACCGTGCCAATTTCCTAGATCTATTCAAAGCTGTGGCTGAGTTTGATGGCTACAAAGCAGGGCACCTGATGACCGAGCGCTGCCGACAGCCAGATGCTGTTCTGGACGCCGAGGTCTTCGCCTTGCGCATGCAACACTTAGTTCTAGGTGTGAAGAGCCGAACTTTTGCACTGGGCAACATCAAGATTGGAGACATTCTCAACGAGGTGTTGTCGATGGTCCGGACACATCACGTACGTCTCGAAGGAGACTTCGTGAATGTTGTCTTAAGTATCCTTCTGCTGGAAGGTATTGGCAGGAGCCTTGAACCGAACCTGGACTTATTTGCTGGGTAAGCTGAGTCCCAATGTCGAGTATCGTAGACTGACCTCAAGCCAGTGCACTGCCGATTCTTAGACAGTTAGGAGCACAGAGTGGCTCATCGATGATTCGAGGAGGTGACTTTTCTATGCTCAAGGTCTGGGTTGGTCTTGAAGCACGCAGTTTCTTGCAGGCTTCCATCGAGACGGTAAGCCCCTCTGTGTAATTTTTCCCAACACCACTGACAAATGTCAGGTTGAGCGATGCGTGAAGTACGATCAACTATCGCCGAACATATGATTGAAACACCTCTCGCCGTCGCTTGTGCGCACCTATCACACAGTCATGCGCCTTGTTGACACGTTGCTCACATTTTGTGATATAACGCCCACGGCTTGCTTGAGTTAGATATAGCTGGAGCTGCGGTACCCACACCCGGCCATTGAAGTCGTTACATGCTCGCCATATCTATGCCCGTAAGAGACAACCCTGGAGGTCTAGGGAAGACAAGAGGAATACATCAAACAATCGATAGTTCAAGTAGGATAATATAACATGCATACGTGTTCAGGGAGCTTCAGGGCGCATTGGATCATCCCAATCACACCAAACTACCCGCTCAAATGACGTTTCAGTTGACACCTTTGCAGATCGCATATGGGGACAGCGATTGCCAAACTAGGGTCATCAATCTCTTCGTCTTAGGGAACCTCCAGAAAAGCCCACATCCCGTGAATTCTGAGGTAAGAAGGAAGCTATCCATGGATCGAACCTAATTCGACAGGCCTGAAGAGGGTCAAAACTTCTCAAGAAGGCAGTGCTGGCGAAATGTCAGAAAACCATGAATGACCGGGCCGCGGACGTCAGAATATAGGTCAGATTCTGACATGCAACGTCGCATCAGTACCTTGCCTGGGGCTTGGCTACATGTAAAAGCGGAGATGGATCTCTACACCAGGCCTCAGCCGCCATGCTTAGCAATACAGTAGGAACTGGGAGAAAGTAGGGGGGCATATATTGTCTGCAGTATGCTTCCAGAATATACATCCACAGCCTTACCGAGACAACCAACAACGCCATGACCGCCCACACCACTGTCCTAATCACAGGCGCCAACAGGGGCATAGGCCTTGGACTCATGGAGCAGTTCCTAGCAAAACCATCCCACACTGTCATCGCCGCGGTGCGGGACCCAGAGCACTCAACTGCGCAAGCGCTGCAAAAGTTGCCCACGGGCTCCGACAGCCGGCTCATCGTTGTAAAGCTTGACGCCAGCATCGAGCAGGACGCACACGATGTCGTCGCCGAGCTGCAGCAGAAACATGGGGTGAAACATCTAGACATCGTGATTGCGAATGCGGGTGTAGGGTACATCTATCCCACCGTTGCCGAGGTCAAGATTTCGGATATCAGAAACCATATGGAGCCGAATGTGTACGGTGTTGTGGCGCTGTATCAAGCGACGCGGGGATTGTTGAAAAACTCAGCGCGTGAGCCTATATTCATGCCTATGGGGTCGTCGGCTGGGCTATTAGTGTGAGTTAGCTTATTTCTTCTTCATATCGTCGCCTTGTCAGTGTGCATTCAGTTGACTCAGAGCTCCAGCAACCACCTCCCTATCCCAAATGCAGCATACGCACCGACTAAAACGGCAATCAACTGGTACACAATTCGCATCAATGCCGAAGACGAGTGGCTTAATTGCTTCTCTGTCGACCCGGGCCATGTGTCGACGGGGCTGGGCGACGGGGCTGCACAGGCTGTGGGTATTGGCGAGAAGGCCCCGCTCTCGGTGCGGGACTCTTGTGAGGGTATGATGAAGGTGCTGGCTAGGGCGTCAAAGAAGGAGTACGGTGGGAAGTTGGTTGTGTATACGGGGGAGATTTCGGAGTGGTAAACGGTTCCAACGGCACTGTGTTGTCAGCAGGACGAACCTCTTTTTGATGACAGGCACAGATAAAGTACGTAGCCTAATGAAGCCGCGCTTTTCGCAATTGGTGTATTCTTAATATACTTCCGCCTTTGTTTGCTTACTGTGCGCCTGTTATGACGTCATACCTACTGGAGCTCACGTTGAAGCTCCAACGAGCCATGGCACCACTTTATAATTTACACGATTGATTTCACAAAACCCAATCCCCCCCTTAAGCATAACAGTTTAAGATTTCCCTCGGCATCCAGCTATAGCATCTAGTCCCCTACATCTTCAGTACAAACTCACACTCCGCCAACATGGAGCCTGCCGCTGCCGGCGTGTTGTATGCGGCAGAGAACTTACTCCAAGGTGCTGCTGCGCTCGTCAAGGGCATAACTCACCCGACCCTTCCGATCAAGGCGAACCTCACACGCATAACCTCGGTCCCTCTTCCGCGAACGAACCATACTGTCTCGGTGGTCAAAGGCCGCGCCTATGTCTTCGGCGGGGAAAGAGCGCCGGGCCAGCTAGCAGACAACACTATGCATGCTATTATCTTACCTTCAAGTGGCGTCATCGAAGCCGATTACACGTCATATCCAGCACGAGCCGCGAATGGGCTTGACGACGTACCAACCCCACGAAGGGGACACACATCAACGGTTATTGGAGATAGCATATACGTGTTTGGAGGAGAAGGAAAGGCGGTGGCAGAGGAGAAGGGTCGGATATGGGTGTATAATACGGTGCAGAACACATGGACATACCTCGATCCTGCCTCGGGCACGGTTTACCCCAGCCAGCGAACAGGTCACGCGGCAGCAAGCTCAGACCTACCAGGCCCAAAGACCGTAACCTTTCAAGAAAAGGCTCCTCAGGCACCTGCCGACCCATCGAAGGTCGTACCAGAGCCGGCAGAGTCAGATTCCTGGGGCACAATCTTCGTGGTTGGTGGACGCGAAACTGCAACTGGGAAGCTCGCAAGCGATGCATTGGCCTTTGACGTCAAGACACGCACCTGGACGAACATACCCACGCCCCCTGGCCAGCCACGCGAAGGCGCAAGCCTGTCACTTGTAGGCGACCGTCTGTACCGCTTCGGCGGAAAAGCCGTAGAGACATTCGGTTCCGGCGGCACACAGTTCCTCGACGCATCGCACGTCTGGAAGCACGCTGAAGGCGGCACAACACCGCTCACCAGCGGCTGGGTATGGGAAGACCTCCCGCATACCGAGAAGCATGGCAGTGCCGTCGTAGCTCCGCAAGCACGGTCAAGTGCAGGGCTCGTGGGCGTCACAACAGGCCAGGGACGGCGCTATCTACTCGCCGTAGGCGGCGAGGGCGAGAATGCAGATTTCCTCGACGATATATGGGCGCTGCAACTCCCGCCTGAGAGCTCGACAGCTGCTGCGACGAAGGATAGCATACGCGCGAGTATGAAGCGGGATACGCATGAGTCGCAGTGGGCGGAGGTTCTCTACCAGTATGTGGACACAAAGGGTGAGGAGGAGAAGGAGATTCCTGGTGAGCCGAAGAGGGGACTCGGTGCGAGAGGACATTTTGGCATGGCGAAAGGCACTGAGGTCGATGGCGCAACTGCGGTGGTCTGGGGTGGTGTTGATTCGCATGGTAGGGTGTTAACGGACGGCTGGCTAATCACGGTTGATCGGTGATTATAAATGCACTTAGTGATGGAGTAAAATGTGTATAATTCAATACTTCCAACGTCCAAGTTTCAGCCAATATTAGAGTTGTGTTGTTCGTCTTCATCTCACTACTAAGTTCCGTGTATGATGTTCCAGCAGTAGCCGCACAAATCTCACCGTAAGACCAAGCCACGTTGCCAGTTGGCGGGTCATACCCCTCCGCGCCCCACCTTCCGCCTTTGAATGCCCTCTCCGCACCAACGGACATCCTACTCTCCTAATATATCTCTCACTGGTCGAAAATGTAGAATATATATATACAAATTTTCAAACTCGTTATTCAACGATTTCAACAGCTTGAGTCCGCCCGTTTGGCTTAGTGGTACAGCGTCTCACTCGTAAACACACGATATGAGAAGATCCGCGGTTCGATTCCGCGAATGGGCATGCTGCATCTGTTTGCTGAATTCTTTTTGCGTTTTGAAATGGTAGGATGAGTGCAGGTTGTTATGGTGTGATGGATGCTGTATTTTTTTTTGGATCGTGTGAGTACGTGGTGGTAAGTGAGAGTATTTCACAGTTGGACATGCAACAAACAAGTTCCATGAGGACATTCATATATTAGGGTATGCAAGTACCTTTGAGCTTTGTTCACGGATATTCTTCACTCACTTGTTTATCATTTCTAGCGTGCGGTATTTGCTGGATTGCACGAGAACATACATATACGTAAATCAGCTTTACAGAGCGCATAGGGTGGACACTCGATCTCCCGCAATCAAAACGGCCTTCATACGTCATGGAGTCCGGCAACATGACAGAAGAAAGTCACACGATAACAAGAAGCATGTGGTAACAATGTCTAACAAGAAAACAGTCTATTAAGCGGGACAACAGATCCCGATAAGAATGCACACTCGAAAATCCAAACGCAGTCCAAAGCAATCGCGCATATGCAAGAAGTATCACTGCATTCACAATATCGCAAACGCGACGTGCCAGTCAAAAGCCCCACTCCCCACTCGTCAGCAAGCTCTCGCTAGCCACGTAGCTGAATCCACCGAATGGGTTCGATTGCGCCTCCTCCAGCAGTTCGTCAAACTTCCTCGTCAGCACAGGACTGAGCGGCAAGTCGGTAAAGTCCTGGGCAAAGTTCTCGGCGAGCTCGGGATCCGTGATGAGCGGAATGATCGGTGGGTCCAGCTCTCTCGCCTCAAGCTTCTTCCAGTCGATCTTGCGGAAGAAGCGATGCTTCTTAATTGTCTGCATGTCCTTCGGCATGTTGAAGCCAAGCCGCTTCTTCGGCTCCTTGCGCATGAGACGAGTGAGCAGATCCTTGGCGTCGGCGCTGAGGTAGTATGGCAGAGAGAGCTTCGACTTGACGATCTTCTCCTGAATCTTGGCGTTGTTGTTACCAGAAAAGGGCGGTGCGCCGGTAAGCAAGTCAAAGCCGAGTGCGCCGAGAGACCACCAGTCAACGGCAGCGCCGTATTCGCAACCCTGAATGACTTCGGGTGCCATGTACTCGACGGTGCCGAGGAAGGACTTGCAAGGGTTGTCCTCGTCAAGAGACACTTTGCTCAGACCAAAGTCGGTCAGCAGTAAGTGACCCTCAGAATCCAGCAAGCAGTTCTCCGGCTTGAGGTCGCGGTAGATGACGCCAACAGTGCGGTGAAGATGATCGAGTGCAAGCACCATCTCGGCCATGTAGAAAGCTGCAACGTCTTCTGAGAACATGCGCTCAGCGGCGAGGTGATGGAAGAGCTCGCCACCCTGTGCGTACTCCAGAATGAGATACAGCTTCTCGTGATCCTGGAATGCGTAGAACAAGTTGACAATGAATGGGTGGCGGTTGACACTCTCCAAAATATTGCGTTCGGTCTTGGTCTGCTCGATCAGCTTCTTATGCACTGTGATCGACGCCTTCTTGAATTGTTTCTGGGCGAAGAGACGGCCAGTACCACGCTGTCTCACGAGAAGGACGGTGCCATAGCTGCCTTTCCCCAGGCACATCAACGGCTCGAAGTCCTCGGCAGTCATCTTGCGCGTCATACCGCTATTGAGCATTGTCGAGTTCTTCGATGCGGCATCCATGCTAAAATCCTCGGAAAGGTTGATTTCGTAGCTCTCCATCTCGGTGCGGTCACTATCACTGTCGAGTCCAGACATACTGGTGTTGCTGGAAAGTTGAGACACGACCCTGGACATTGGCACTCTTTTCAGGGGAGAGTCCTCCCTTGGGGTGAGGTTGAGCGACTCAAGCTGGGCTTTCAAGCTGCTGATGCCCCCCATGGAAGATATAGGCCGCAGCGCAGGACTACTGGTAACACTGGGAAGCCCAGACACGGAGGGTCCAAAGCGAGGCGTGGCAGCACGAGAGTAGTCCGACTCTTCTCCGCCAGAGGTGACTGGGGTGTGGAAGCCGCGAGTGACGTTGGTAGCTGGCGCGCCCTTCAAAGCCTTCTTCTTCTTCTTCTTGTTCTTCTGCGCCTTCTTCATGACCAGGTCGTAGTCCAGCTTGTCCGGCCCCTGTTGCTTCTCTCCACCAAGTGGCAGAACTGTACGCTTTGGCAACGGCGATATGATGTTGATCGGTGGAGTTCCAACATGGAGGGGCGTTGTGCGGGCGTCCAGGTCCATCTTCTCGGTCGCGAACACGTCATCGACGCTCACGACCGGCGCTGGCTCCTGCGCCTTTGCTGCAGGCAGATGCGCATCATCCTGGTCGAACGTGAAGACGGGCATTTCTACTGTCGCCGATGGGTATATTCGAGCAGGAGCTCTAGCTATTCAGGTGTGTTCCTGATTCTGCGCAGTCGGTATCAGCACGCGCAGACCCCAGGCGCTTAGGCACTTGCGCACATTCAACTCAAGGTTTCTGTTATCCAGGATTACCGTCCACCGTTCAAGGTGGACCGCCGTCCCCTACTTGTCGAACCAACGACGCGAACGAGGCGTCCGTCTTGTTCAGTCCTGCCTTCGATGTGCAATATGGGAATGCGGAGCCAACTGGGGTAAGCTGGGTTGCGGTGAAGAGAAAAGCGGTCGCGGAGAGTGTAGCAGAGCCCATGAATGGTGATCTGAGAATAATTCGGTGTCGATAATAAGAGCCAGGTGTGTTTCCTGGCCGTGGGCGTGTGTGTCGTATTGTGTGAAATGTCGTGTTTGAGTGGACAGTGGGAAAAGGACAGCGGGTGAGGCTCAAGGCTTCCCAGATTTCTTAATTTGGCGGCCTTGGCGCGCTGAAAGCAGGCATGGGCATGTGAATAAGCCGACCCTGGTCTTTTTCCAGACAGCATGTGCCGTCGATAATGTACCGAAGGCATCACTGTGCGACATGTTGACTGATCAAGAAGCTCGTGCTGTATCATCTCAGCTGATCCTCTGCCAGCTGTTCTCTTACGCGCTGACGTTGGTTGGGCGCTTGGTTTTGGGAAACGAAACGCGCCCCCCTCTTTGGCACGTCCAAGAAATGACGCATTGATTGCAAAGGAGAAACACAATGCGCCAGTTGTTCCAGTTCCAATCGATCGTCGGAGTTAGTCCCGTCATACCTTTCCAAATCATGTCCAAGAACGACAAACCTGAGGGTTTGAGCCAACCCGGTCTTGAAGCGATCTAAGCCCTGCAGACTAGGTTTGCTGCACGACACTAGCCTCATGCCCACTCACCAGATTGACATGCGGGTGATAACGCGCACAGTATATATACGCTACAAAATGGGAAATTGATATTCAACCGCATAGGTTAGCCAACCGATATCTTTCGGATCCGCCCTCTTGGCTTAGTGGTAAAGCGTATCACTAGTATTCATTGCTATGATAAGATCGCTAGTTCGATTCTGGCAGAGGGCATCCTCTCTTTTTGCCATTTTGTTCGCGCGAACAGCATGTCTACTCGATGCAAGAGAAGCTGTCAATGTTTTTGTTCACAATGTACACTTCTGCAACATCGTTGATGGAGAAGGTAAAGTCTTGCGGCGAGATCATTCTATTTCCCATAAAGATATCTCCTTCATCCCGGCGCTTTGTTCTACACATTTACACCTCAGTGCACTTTGTTGTATAAACGTGGAAAATGAAGAGAAACTACAAGTAAGATCCTTGATTTTGAGCTGATAGGACCTTTTTTGTCCTCTATTCTGATTTCAAACGTGACAATCTTCTGCCTTGCGCGACCATGCCGAGCCAAACACTCCTCTATTCGGATTCTATGAAGCAAATCAATCTGTCGCGCCAACCATTTTCGCAGTCCGAACCGTGAGATAAAACCTTTCGGGCGAGGTACCTGAACGGCTGCCCAAGCCCTACAAGCAGAGATTCAACGGTCACGTAAGACAAAAAGATCGGTAGCGAGAATATATGCTTCAAATTTTAATTAATTGTACACACTAGACGTGATTTTCCCAAACGCTTCGCATCACAAACATGGGCTGACCATCAAATTCTTGCCGGTTGCCCGGGCTATCTACAAAGAGAAGAGAATATGAGGCGTGGGGAGATTGTGGTGAGAGAACTGCTTAAGTGCAAGTGCCGAACGACTTGTTGCACCCTGTACCGCAGTGACCAGTTGTGCTACCGCACCAGCCGTACTGCGAGCAGCAGTTGCCGAAGGTAGAACCAGTGCAGGTGAAGCCTGCAGTTCCGGCGCATGAGCCGTCGGTGGAGGCCTTCTTGGTGGCAACAGGGGCCGCGGCAGAGGATGCCTTGGTGGGAGTCGCAACTGGAGCCTTTGAAGACGAGACAGCTCCGGATCCTGAGCAGGTTCCGAAAGCAGCATTGCATGTTGATCCGCAGTGGTCGGTTGTTGATCCACACCAACTAAGGGATGTCAGTATTTGTTTTAGTTTGAGCTCATATATAGAATTGCTTACCCGTAAGCACTGCAGCAGTTTCCGAACGAGGATCCTGTGCAAGTGAAGCCGCTAGTACCAGCACAAGTGCCGTCAGTTGAGACCTTTCCAGGCGCTGCGGAGGGGGTAGCGGCCTTGGTGGATGAAGCAGCCTTTGGTGTAGAGGTAGCAGCCTGTGGTGTGGAAGACGCAGCCTTTGGTGTAGATGAGGCCGCCTTAGAGGAGCTGATCACGTTGGAACCGCAGTTTCCGAAGCCGGACTGGCAGCCAGTACCACAGTAATCAGTTGTAGTTCCGCACCAGCCTATAGAGTCAGTATACGATTCATGTGACCAGTGCGAGAGACATTACCTGAAGCACTGCAGCAGTTGCCGAACGAGGATCCCAAGCAGGTGTACTGGTTGGTTCCACCACATGTAGCATCGGTGGTGACCTTCTTTGTTCCGGTAGAAGTGGGAGCTGCGGAGGAAACCTTGACGTGAGATGTTAGATAAGCGCCAAAAGATGGTCATAAAGACAACACGGATGGAAATACTAGTACAAATTCAGGAAGAGATGCAATACTTACAGTGGCAGAGCGAGAGGCAGACACTGA